GAAAGAGTGGGTGTTGTCTGCAGAGCACCATCACCAGCCCAGGTTGGGATGCAGCTGAAGGGCAACTCAGGGACCTGGAATCATTTCAAGTAAGAGTTCAACAAACTTGGAAGAGGATTTAACACTTTCATCTGAGCAAACTGATGAGTTAGACTTAGGGAACCAAATTGAGTGGACTAGGCAACCAATTACATGGAGTAGTTTCCAGAGGCTTCCCCTCATCTCCCCCCAAATGAATCCCAACAGCTTGTTAATTTCCGAGATTTCACAGTTAGGGAATATTTTCTTTGATGTGAATCTCTAGGACTCATAATGCCTAATGGTAATTTCTTGGAAGACCAGACTCCTTCTCATATCTAGTACTTCCTCTCGCCCACTTCAGCTTAGCACTTCCCTTGCACAGAATTCAACCTGAGCTGATTGTAAGCATTTCTCGGGAGCAACTTGGGGGCAGGGATTGGGTCATTTTAAATTCAAACCTTCTGCACTGAGCACACAGACACAGTAGGCCCCTGCTCAATAAACAGAGGTCCCACTTCTACACCGCCGCTCACGCTGTGCCTCCTTTCTGGAGTCATCTCCTATCCCCTCTCCCACATCATCAACCCCAATTCTACCTGCCCGGCATTTGGGGCACACAGCATGTTTCCAGGGCAGATGAAAGAATCCTGGCCTGGACCCAGGAGCCCTCATGAACTCAAAGACAGCATTTTCCTCCCCACATTGCTCACTGCGGGTACCTCCAGGATCGGGCTTTGCCTCATGGTCTGATGTGTGATATAATGATCTGTGCCTTCATTTGTCTTCCCCCGGCTCCTCAAGGGAAGGCTTGGTGCCGTATTCATCTTAGAATCCATCCAGAGCAGAGCACGAGACAAGAATTCATGTGCAAGTGACTTAATAAGGGATGCTCCCAGCAAAGTGGAAGGAACAGGCAGGGCCAGCTACGCAGGTGTGTTACCTGTGAAGTCACACAGGGCCTGCCAATCACAAGGGTCTCATGCTGGGTGTGACGCTCTGCTGTCACCATCCTGAGATCTTGATTTTTAATAATATTTTAACAAGAGCCCTGCAAATTATGTTGCCGGTCCTGGGAGTAGGATAGGGGAGTGAACACGCCCAGCAAGGATGTAATTTCAGGCTTAATGCCAGCCTTCAACTGGATCCCATGGGGAGCTCAGGGGCATAACTTCACTCTTCTGAGTTTGTCCCACCTTGGGATGATGGAGCCGGGCTAAGGGCTGCCCAGGAAGAGGTAAATCCTGGATTCTTCCCTGTCTCTGTGCATAGGAAGAAGCAACTCCGGGAGCCCAAATGCAGCCTCAGAAGCAAGTCGCAGGTGCAGCCATTAGAAACAAAGCACGTAGGGACTTCCCTGGTGGCGCAGTGGTTAAGAATCCGCCTGCCAACGCAGGGGACTCGGGTTCGAGCCCTGGTCCGGGAAGATCCCACATGCCGTGGAGTAAGTAAGCGCGCGAGCCACAACTACTGAGCCTGCGCTCTAGAGCCCGCGAGCCACAACTACTGAGCCCATGTGCCACAACTACTGAAGCCAGCGCGCCTAGAGCCCGTGCTCTGCAACAAGAGAAGCCACCGCAATGAGAAGCCCACACACCACAAGGAAGAGTAGACCCCACTCGACACAGCTAGAGAAAGTCCACGTGCAGCAACGAAGACCCAACACGGCCAAAAATAAATATATAAATTTTTTTTTTTTTTTTTAAAAGAAACAAACAAAGCATGTAGAAGCTGCAGGATGGGTGCCCGGAAACCATAAGGGGATGCGAGGGGGTGTGGGCAGAGTGCCAGAGGTGTCCACCACCACCGTCAATAGTACTTGAGTTGAATTATCAGATGTAAAGTCCACGATCTAAAGAGAGTGAATG